TGGCACGTTATCGATTGGCGTTTGAGATTTTATTGCACTGAAAAAATAGTTAAATAAAATAAATATATTTTCATTATTTGTGAAATACGAAATAATATATATATGTTGAATAATACCTGTTAAGTTGTTTTTCGCGTTATTAGCGTTGTGTTATGTAACACTATTTAAAATAATTTGATTGATAATGAAAAAAAATTAATTTTTGTAGAAAATATTAAATATGCGAAAAACAATGAAAATCAACGAAATATGCACTTTTTCTCTAAAATTATCGAAATAGACAAGATATGCATTTTTAATTTTCAATTTTTAAACACAACATTGTATAGCTCGGATTTCTAGCTTGGTCTGCTATAATTCGACAGCATACAGAACAATATGCAACTCCTATAACTTCTGAACCCTTATAATGAATATAGGTGACATGATGATAATGCATCTTACCTTATGCCGTCTTCAATTCTTATAAAATGTTCAATAAACAGACAACGCGTTTCGTTGAGCCAGAAAATATGACGAGGTGCATAAATAAAAATGACACTACTTGTTTCGCTGAAATCGCATCACAATGGCACAGAGCACAATATTATTTATGAACTGACTCACTCGAAGCCGATGACGCGAAAACGGTTTTGTCGACAGACGAGTATAGAGCGGCGCGAAAAACGCAGAGACAAAGGCCGATAATGAACGCGTTTTTCCCTAGAACTGAACAACCAACAACGACGAAAACTATCGTGGTTGTACACTCGCATCTATATACCARCTACTATTTCGAATGTGGACCGCGGTCGTCGAATTCATATACCGCAGTCCATAACAACATTATAGATTACCTATGATATTYGCAGCTAAAGGCGGGTTTCCGCTATACCCGTGTTCCATGTACACGTTTAGTGTTTAGGTATGTCCAACAACCCGGTAACGTGGTTAATCATGTGGTAACCTTACCTAATCAAACAATCACATCAAAGGATTTACGCGAACGTGTATAGTGAAAACTCGCCTTTAACCCCGACATTTTCCGTTGGAGTTGGACGGGTACTCGGGTTTTTCAGTCTTCACTGGCCGTTTTCTTATACGTCATCGTCACGATTCTCAACAGTTCTCGATATTCGATCCAAACCGTTTCCTCGTTACCGGTCGAAATTAATCTAATATTCAATATTGTACGTCGAATACATATGTCTTCGAACATCGCCATTTCCGGTACGACGAAACGTGTCGCCCGTTTCCAGAGGATATTACGATACCAGAGTGTGGTGCGTCAAGGTAAGACAGATACACAAGCTTATACGCAACAATATATTCAATATATTATGTTATGTTATTCACACGTTTCTCGTTGGTACTATGACGCGCACCTACAATAATTATTTAAAATTTATTACAGTTGAACATAATGTAGTGTTATATGCATAGGTAGGTATATTAAAATCCAAATAAAACCTTGATATACAGTCACAAAATCGTGAAATCCTTATAAATGCCATGAAAAATTGGTTTGCAGGCTTTAATACCGGCATAATATTAAGAATCCAAAATTTGAATTTCAATGAATGCATAATTTAACCACATAAAAACGGGTTATTCGTGCTTAAAAACCACTCAGAATAAACGCGGRGACCTATAAATACGAATTTTATAGGTAGCTAAACGCGGCCCCGAGTACGTTATTTTTTTTATATGGGCATAATGCCTTAATTTTTATTTTGTAACAATTATATTGATATATATTGCTGGAAAACATTTTTGTTTATTTATCTCGTTGTATGGACTGGTGATTCATGTGTAGATTACGAAAAAAAAAAAACTAAGGTGACCATGTACCTACTTAATAGCAAAATGTGGGTATTTTTCGTTGTCGAAGTTGTTCTTCCTGTTTAATTCTATATCTTATATAATACTTTTAACTTATGTATACAATTAAACAGTTTGTTATTGCTGTCAACAATTTAAGTTCATAATAGTGGACAGGAGTAACAAAAAAATTAGCACTGGGCCGTCAAAATTCTAAATAGGTTTTCTCTATGATTATCTTGTACTAAAGGGTGAACATCCAAATTCTATATACGTAATTTTAGTTTAAATAATATCCATATAAATTCCTAATAGATATATTTTCAATTCKAGGAATAATTAATTTTGAGAGTCTTGAGATAAAGGTTATATTAAATATGTATTATAATAATATACAATGATTGCTGTATATACTTTAAGTAATAACTTTAGTTAATAAAGTATTAACAGTACGGTATAAACGAGAAATATATAAAAAATTTTAATTACATGACAATGTTACAATAAATTATGAAATGTATTCTATAGACGAAACATTTAAATATACATTTTAGATCTTGTAATAATTACTGACAAAATTAACACTGATTTGATGATACCAAACGTTGTCAGTTTAACAACAAAAACCTAACTTTTTATTCTAATTATTATATAATGTTATTAGACATTTGCAAAATATGATTTATGTATTTTAAATTTCATTCGGAATAGATATTTACTGGAAATTCAATTAATAATATTTCTAAAACGATCTGGTATAATGCATATAATAAAAGGCTAAAATAATACAAGTTCATTTAGTGCCTATATATGGCTATTCGAAGTTTAAAATGATTAATTACAATTTATATGTCATTTGAAATTTGAATGTACCAGATACATACATAATGCTATTTTCGTAATTCATTCTAAATCATAATATACACGATGGATGGTAATCAGCGAAATCATAGAGATCACATTAAGGATAGCTGAAATATCAATATCAATATACATAGGTAGGAAGTATAGGTACCTGGTACAATAATTTTATTCCGGTTTTGATACTTCGGTGTCAGACTTACACGAACATCAGGTGGTTGCAATGGCATCATAATAATAATAAATAATAATAATATAGTCGTACAATAAGCAAATKAATGATGTTTGCTGGTCAGAGACCGGAGGTTGAAATTTAAATATGTGGGGCAGCGTGTATTTTATTGCTCGACGCACGGTCRCGGCGAACGTTACCGTAGAGCGTGCGGTATTTTAACGCTGCTCTGGTTGGCGACATTGGTTTGTTATTGTTATTCTAAACGCTTACGCTACGGCAAAGTATAGGAACGCCACTGCCGCCGCCGCCGCCGCCGCCGCAATAACGGGGACCCCGTCACGCCGCCGCCAGCGTCAGTGCAGTGGGGCCCGATAACAGGACGTCAGTCAGTAGTGTGCGAGACACGCGCCGTGGTCCATCGTTTCGCCCGCGCTTCAGGCGAACACTATTCGATCTCGATTTAGTCGTGTAGTCGTATAGAACAGCTACAGCGAAATTCACACGGTGGCGAAGTTGCGTAGTTATCTCACGATATTAGACGCAAAAACAAATCGGTACCGCCGACATCCGTCCCGGGCAGCCGCCTCCACAGCAGCAGCGGAATGCCCGTCGGTCGTCTTTCAGCCAAGGAAAGTCGTCGTCGGTTCGCGGTGAAAACGCACACAGAGCCTGAGCAGGCCAGTTCGATCGATCGGTTTCACGACGACGACAGTATTACCGTCGCGTCCGCGGCGATGTAGTATACACAATACCTACCCGGTCGTCGGTCAGATTTTCGTTTTACCACCCTGCCCATACCCATCSCCATTACAGTCTTACRTCTTACCCCGTTTCCGAGCAAATAAAATTAATACAGTCGGTGGAAAAATATCGATTTTCGTTTGGCCGCTTTAAATAAAGAAAACAACCGCGCGTATATTAAGTACAATATTACCTAAACGAATTGTCGTGTCATATATTGTAGGCGATCGAATTTGAAACGTCGTCCACGACGGCGGACACCACCATCCGCCTCGCAATGCACGCGATGCTGGCCGTGTGGACGTTACTCGGCGTTGCCGCGTCGTCGGACCCGTGGCCGGCCGCCGCGTCCACCGTCGATGAGACAGCCGACTCTTACACGACCGCGTACCTGAACGTGACCAGCTACGATGTGGCCACGGGCGTCGTGGTCCAGACGGAAAAATCGGAGATCGGCAAGTTCGGCGAGTATCACGTGGGAGCCGCGTCCGGGATGCTGTTGCACGTGATCGGCACGGACGGTGACCGAAACGGGTGCGCGCCACCCGTCCACGGCGTCCGAGAACCTCCGGACGCCGGGCCCTGGATAGCGCTGGTGCGCAGGGGCAAGTGCAGTTTCCAGACCAAAGTGGATAACGCGCGACGGGCCGGCGCCTCGGCCGTGATCGTCTACAATGACCGCGAAGCCACCGACCTCGACAAAATGAAGCTACTGCCTTCCGACCCCAGTGAGTACYTACGATTATTGTTTTACTATTATACTTACCGATTCGTTGTCACTTAATTTATAAATAAAAAATAGTGAAAATTATATTATACCTAACGTGTAATCCCCGATGTTTGCATATCAACAGTACGACGGTCACAGTTTTTGTTTCTATTAAGGCATGTGTTGTGCATCGCTTTACACGCTGATTCGTCGCTGTGTTTTTTAGAGGTGGGTCACATGCGATTAGAGTTGATCAGTTTTCCCGAGAGACCACAATGTACCATATTATCATATGTTTTTTAKGGCCCTTTTCGGAAGTTACCGGAAGTTACACTGCGAACGCGCATTGGGTTAACTGCTAACATAACAAGTTTCTACTCGTTTACTTGCACAAAATAATATTTTATTGTAATTATTTTTATTATACTCTTAAATGCGTTTTTACGCATTAAAAAATTTKCCACTCTGAATTMATTAAATAAAAAAATAGAACTATATCTACTGCCTTAAATCGGCCGGAAACTATAGTTAATTTTATATAATGATTAATGATAGTGGTAAACATTGTATAATGTAGGTACTTACTAATAGTTTGCAAACTAATTTTTCGAATTAACTGTTGAAGTAAGTCGATTTAATGAATATAGCATTATAGTTACAGGCAAGGCTGYCAGGAAAAAAATTTATGTAGTGCTTCTATAATTTAAATATCCCCTCGGTAATGGTCGTATTTTCCCTGAAAAATAGGTACTATATACCACGTCATGTTAAATAATAAATACCGATGCATTGAATAATTTATAAACTTATAATAATATAATAACCCTGTGCACTGTCCTCTTATATAAACACGCAAGCTAACGAATTGTTCTCAACAGTGACGAGTACAGCCGTCAGCCGTGTCACCCGCGTTCATGCGATTAGCATTCGAGAATCATAGTTGAGTRTATTGTCCGTTTTTAATAATAATATTAAAAACCATTCATGTGCGATATACTCACTCGAAAACACTAACGCATAACTTGTATAATCTAAAATATTATGTACTTATTGTAKTACACATGATTATTTATTATTCATTATTGACTTGCGCTTATATTAAGTGTATTGTAGACTAGGCAATGTAACCAGATTATTGTTATTATCGACGGTCCGCGACAATATTACTATAATATTATTAATGTTATATTATTAAATTTGTTCTCAGTTATAACCCTATAGTCATTTACTAGTTTATATAATATTTATTTTTTACTCTTTCAGGCAATAAGCCATTAACAATATTATTATTAATGTTTTCTATTAATCATTTTTACTGCCGTATTATTATAATAAAATAATATGATTATTAATGCATACAAACGTAATATTTTTATGATTTTATATCCTATTAAACTATCAAAGTATAGTTTATCAACCTCCCAATGAAAATTCTATAACGTATATTTACTTGTTAAAGTATATTTGACGTTTTAGTTTTAAACATATTGACAATAATCAGTTAAAAATTAAAAACAAATTAGAATTAAAGTACCTATTCGGAAAAAATAAATGATGATCAATTAMACATAATATTATTGAAACTTGTACCTACCTATATCATACTTTAATAATTTATACAATGCTGCTTATAAAATGTTAAACATTTCAACTATTTAAAAATCATTTATAAAGGAAGGCATTCATATCAAACAATTTGTACTGTTTATTTGTTTGGAATATATTTGTTTTGTCCATTCTAAAGTAAATAATTTTATGTATTATATCAGAATCACTATCATAAAACATTTAAACATATTTTATTTAAAGAAGGAATATTAATTGTATTTTGTAATAATTATTTAATACAGTTTTTTTTCGTGGATAATTCTTGGTCCATTATTTTAATAAAATATTTAATAGTTAACTCATGTTTGATGAATTATTATTATTATTATTGCATAACTCATTCCGCTGAATTTACTTTTAATACTTACCTTTAGTTTGAAGTGTTATCAATGATAACTTTACTTATCAGTTATCATAATATAAAATCAATGAACAAATAAAAAATGTGGGTATACCTACGACTTATTTGCGTATCTACCCTTAGTAGGTTAGGTGACAATGGTAAAAACGTAGATAAAATAAATTTAAAAGTTATCTATAGATTTAATCGAAATAATTATTATTTCCTTTGAGACCATGTTATTTAAACTTTATTWATGAGTATATTTTGTAATTTAAGAATGTAGTTTTTAGATATTTCTAGCAGTACTTTACTGAAAAAAAAATCATGAAAAATATGAATATTGTACGTCATATGTATATAACGCTTACAAGATCTGTCTGAATTATTAAATATCAGAAGTGTACATTGAAATATTCACTTTTACTATGATAATGTATAAACTAATGTCTAAGTTACTCTTGTCTCTTGATACACTGAACAAGAGGTAGTAAAATAGTAGCGGTAAATTGTGTTCAGTTGCATTGCTAGGCCTCAAATGTGAACGAACGTGTTTTTGTCATATCGAAATTTATTGAACACATTTATTGAAGTACTATTTGTAGAATTTGTACCATTTGTTCGCGTTTGGAGTGGTTTGACCCTGTGACGGTAGGTATTATAAAATAATATACGATTCAATATGAAGGACATTCCGGCATTCGGCCTGTCACAAAGATTGATTCGCTTGCATTTGCATCTCAAGTGAAGGCTATAGCAAACGCTGGAGAACGAAATTCTGCACCTTTAATTCTCTACCAAATTCGCATATACCGTATACGGTTCCGAATATTCGTTTTCCAACGTTCCTTAGGATTCGTTTAGACCAAAGGGATTGGTCGTTTCGTGCCGAATGCTGTAAGGACAACGGAANTACGGTTCCGAATATTCGTTTTCCAACGTTCCTTAGGATTCGTTTAGACCAAAGGGATTGGTCGTTTCGTGCCGAATGCTGTAAGGACAACGTCAAAGTTAAAAGTTAAGAATTTAATACACATTTTTTAACATGTAATAAAAAAATAGTATTAACTAAAATAGCAACGGGGAACATACCTACACTCCTCCCGGACTCTCTGCGTTCGCCCTTGGTCTATGTCGTTCACAGTGTATAGCGTTTTATTTGATCTTATATTAACAGAAATCGGTGCGCAAACCACTCCTAACGCAAACGTATGGTACACATGGTCGTTCATTCACGTTCGACTTATCATTTACAATTGACGTGTGTTCGGTAGAAAATTTCAATACTTATATGAAATTCAAATTCGTTCACGCCTGTATCCTTAATATGTAAATACACCTTGACGCTACCACTAACGCCACAGCTAGTGTATGTTAGACTACGCATAACAATATCAATATCAATATAATATGATAGATGTTTTTTTTAAGTATAAAAATTATTAGTTAGAAAATTAATTAGGTTTTATCATGGCAAATACTAGTATCTAGGTAAATAAGGTATACCTATCGGCTATCGGCTATCAAATTAGTACATTCCATCTGCGTTGAAAATATTTGGTTTTGTTTGGATAATTGCCTGATATCTATTAAGTATCACCTATAAGAACTGAAAATTGCAAATAATGTAATTTTTATATTACGCTATACGAAATATAGATACACCTGTATATCATCGTATATCTTGAAAAATGATTATAGGCCCTTAACCCTCCCCMTCCACGAGGGCCTCATTCAACAACATAGTACTGAATATAATAATTTACACATAAGTATATTTAATAAAATGCTATACATATTTACGTTTTAGGGATTTCACATTTTGCATTTAATTTTTATTATTATAATTTATAGATAATATACCTTGTTATTATTATACATATTTAATAATTTTATTCTTTATACCGTAAACGTACAATATACGTAAGACAAAATAAACATTGAAAATCCATTTATATCGACTACACAGATAATAATTGTAATTCTTTGTAATCTCTATTTGAATATTATCATTCAATATTGATTAACTATACACTAAACAAAGTTACCTATGTCCTATATAGTAGGTAAGTTTATTTATATTCCTGTATACTATAGGTACCTATACTGTGTGAAATAATTATTATTGTGATGTACTTTCCTAATTTTTAGATATGTCTATATGCTGAGACCTAACCAATTAATTATTTTTATTTATAAATACGTATAGCGTGATCACGATTTCGGGTAACACTAAATATTTCGGATTGAAGACCTCTTATTGGAATGAGTTTTGGTGTGGTACTAAAATACATATTTTGTAAAATTTTCAAATCTGTAATACTTTCGGCGTGCGTCTGTTCAATATACAATGTAATTGTTCAAACAGTAGTATCTCTTTTTAATAGGTACACGATTTGGCGATTTGGATTGTACGATTTTTTTTAAGTTGATTTGACTTATATAACTTGGTTATAAATTCCAAATTGAGTGAATAAAATTCTTCATTTAATTTTTTTTTTAATGATTCAAARTGTAAAATTCAACTTGGTGTACCACATTTGGTGTACTACATTTTTTAATTTATTCAGTAATTTTTATTTTTATTAATAAATTGTATAACAATTTTATGTAAAACTCTTCAAGGGGAACTATGATTTTAATTTTTATAATTCATTTTTGGACATAAAATTATGGATAAAAATGTTAAATATTTCAATACTTAGGTACTTCATTTTGTAGTGATTTTTTTGTGTCTATTTAACYACATTAATAAATAATAACAATATTCATTACATTACTTCTGCAGTCTTTTTCTATTACCAATAATTACGGCTCAGAACGTTATGCTCTTAAAAATTAAAAATTTACTAAATATAATATGCATGTTGCATGTACCTATTATGCTTAAAAAAGTACAAAATAAATATACACTTATATTTTACATTGATAGGTACTATTATCTTATATAAAAAACTATATAATAATCACTAAAATTTGAATTTATAGATATTTTAAAAATTAGTAACTATATAACAGTATTGGTATTGATGCTGCAGGTTTTTGACGAAAAAGTTTTATTTATGCGAATG